GGCACCCGGCTGGCTCAGTCCAGAGAGCATGTGACTCTCTTGATCTTAGGCTTGTGAGTTTGAGCCCCATGTTGGGTATAGAGATTACTTAAAAAAAAAAAAAATTAAAATAAACATTAAATAAATCCTGTTATGCAATGCTTTTAAACAAATATTTCAACAGTGAACAAGGACTTTTGATCTTATGAAGACTTTATGATTCAAGAAAGTCAGATTATAGTCAGTTTTAAATAACTTAATTATTCAAGATAAGAAATATGAATTATGTATCACTGAAATTACAGATTACTAACCTCTTCTCCTAAATCCTTTTATTAGATGTACTAATGAGTAAGGAAACAAGAAGATAATCATACAAAAACCAACCCTTAGAATCTCTACTAAGGTGCTAATTTGCTTGCAAGAAAATCGTCCAAAATCTAAATAGACAAGTCAACTATAATTATAGATTTTGAAAATTTATTTTATTTTTTTCAGATTTTATTTATTTGAGAGAGAAAGAGAGAGCACACGCGGGGGAAGAGGCAGAGGGAGAGGGAGAAGCAGGCTCCCCCATCCTCCCAATGGAGGACTTGATCCCAGGACCCTGGGATCATGACCTGAGCAGAAGTCAGACACTTAACGACTGAGCCACCCGGGCGCCCCTCCATTATTTTAAAATGAAACATTCTATGTTATAATTTTTTCAGGTTACTAGAGAACAAGAATTGGATTCAAGGATATTTAGTTTGGCTTTTTTTATGAGATAAAAGTACTGGTATCTTTTTCTCAGTGCTTTGAATTCTAACTTCTCACTTCATGAATAGACTATAACACACAGAAGTATAGAGGCCACGGATGAGAGCACCATTTAGCTTGATTTTCCTTTCCATGGTATTCTCTAATACTGAATGTGTTACAGCTGATGGAGAAAAAGAATTTCATGCCTTTTTTAAGCAAAACATGTTATTTCTGTTTTATTAATTATCCTACAAAATACCAAATTAGAATGATCCTTATTCTAATTGCTTTCAAGTGATCAAGGCAGAGATTAGCCGACCTAAATAAAGTGTATCCAAAAGGATGCATGTTTAAGGCCTGTTCATCACAGAAGTATTTCAAGGGGAAATCCACTGATCTCACACATCCACTAACCTACACGGATAACCCGAAACGGATTAAAGGGATGGCAATGCAATCCCCACAGGCTAAATGATCGTCCTCACCACACCCACATCTCCAATGTCTGGACTGCGTTCTACTCAGAAAGTAGCACCTCTTGTAATCTGGGAGGAATCCATAGGAATACAGGTAGCCACACACACAATACGCCACTGTTAACAAATATACAATTCTCTCCGAATCCGAAATTCTGGCCTCTTATTATAAAACTGGTGCATAATCACAGTAAGGTCATCTTTGTCCTCCATTCCCATTTTGTAAACAGAAGGCAAGGGGGAGAAAGCATCCTACACCTCAGGCTGGGAAGGATTCTGAAATGCAGCTAGCTAACTCAGTTGTCTTTTTAGTGCACAAAGGGCCAAGACATCCTTTAATCTACCAATCAGATGATGGATTCTTCTATTTGAGTACACGGTTATGTTTTGGTGTTTCGTAGCTCTTGTAACCAAATGGAACCATAACCAGAAGGACAGAAAAGAGTTCCCATCTTCCCACCTGCCAGGGACACTGGCCTCAAGGTTACAACTGACCACTGCTCCACTTTCAGCTCTGAAGTCGTTGATTGAGCAGAAAATACAAAAAGGATAATTCAGAGAATTACGACTGTCCATACGTAACTTGGAACTTGGCTCAAGAAATCAAGATTTGCCAGACTCTGAGGAAATTTGTCATTGGTCATCCCACCCTCTACTGACACCTGAATGAAAATACTCTTTCAAAGACAAACTTTTAAAAACAGGTGATTGGGGAATAGGAGGCTTTATTTACTACTTGCATTTGCATCATTTAACATTCCTGCCCCTGCAGTGGCCAAAATGGCCAAGTCTCAAAATTAAACCTAGCAAATAATTGATTCCATTGTCCCCCAGAATTTTCATGTATAAGATTGTAAAAGATTGCCTGGAAGATAAGATTCCTTCGATTTTATTGAAATACACCAGATAAACCCAGGACTTATGGACTTGTGCCTCAGTGCCCCTAAACGTTAGGCTTCAGTAGTCAAGTTTTTTTTTACACTCCATATGATCTGATAGAAGTGATATTCAATTAGTGTAATGTTTTCTGAGAGCTGAGTACTTACTCAGTAAATGACAGATAACATAATTAGTGGGAAAAAAAGAGAAAGTAAACTGGATTACTAAATAGTCAGCAGGCATCTGATATAAACGTCATTGAGATGGAAAAAAATCTGTTAATAGCCTTTATTAGTGATCAGCATTCTACCAGGGAACGGGGGGGTGTATTAGTATAACCCCCAAATGTCCACACACCCAGTCAAGAAAGCTCAAGATGCAATTCATAACTAATTCAATGTATAAAGTGGTCTCATTTGAGCCATCTGCATTTATACTATTTTGTCTATTTGAGATTAAAGACAATTTGAAATTGCAATGCCAACAGGCCACCTTATTTCTGGAGAACCCCTACATCAGAATTTTTTGCCAAAATACTCACTTGGTCTACTAATAACCAGACCTATTTGGATTAGTCACTATCTGATACATGACACAGAGAGCACAATAATGACACAAAGGTTAAACTGTAGAAAAAGTAGATGGCCCAAGGTATTCCCCAACTTAACAGGGTCCAATCAAAACCAGGGAGCCAATATGGTCCTACAGGCCAGGGAGCATGCCACCCGCGGGGGATGGGGGAACACTTGAGCAAACACAGATATGGTCCCTGCCCTCGTGGAGCATCCAGAACCAGGACAACAGTCAAGTCACTAACGTCACAAATGTGGAGCAAACTGCTGGGAAGGGTCTGTGGGGCTACAGGAGCCTAGAAAGGCAGATGGGATTACTCAGAGGTCAGCAACTGGAGTTTCACAGGGCGAAGAGGGGAGGCAAGAGCTATGTGCTGAGTCATTCTTAATTAGGGAGTTCTTTTCAAAAGGACTTTTGAAAACCTGTGTAATAAATTTTGCTAGCTGAAAATGAAAAACGACACCATTTTCCAAGGATACATGTAAGTGTATTGATTTGTCTCCAAATTGATAACTGGGCAGTCTGCCAAAAAGCTCAATGATAGTCTAGATGTTATTTAAGTCTTTTTTTTTTTTTAAGGAGGTTGCTTGGCTGCTTCAAGATGGTGGCAACCAGGAAGGGAAAATAAGGTTATGCAAGAAGGACAAAAAGAGAATGGAAAGAATATTTTTAAATGAACAAATTCAAGTTTACCTGGAAGGGATTAAGTATCCTATTTCAGCAGGAACTCTTAAGAAGACCTGAAGTAGTAAAAACCAAGAAAAAATGTCCCCAGTTGCAAGCTTTTAACAATTACACCTTAAAACCACTCTCACTACTGGATGCTAAATACTGGTTATGTGGCCATTTTGGCAGTAATCAGCATCAAAAGGTGATATATACTTAAATATTAAAATGTGACTTAGACCTCAACAGGATTGCACCTTACACGTGCCCAAAGGTTAGGCACTGTCTTGGAAAGTTAGATATTCTAGCAGTTTGTTCTTGGTAGTACCTACAGCCCCAGAGACCATGGGTTTTACAAGTAGTTATAAGTTAAAGACTAGAAGTAATCTAATTAAGTGCAGTCTCTCAGCCCAAACTAGACTAGGACAGCTAAAGAGGTCAGGGCAATGAGGTCACAGTTCTGTGAAATTTACCCAGATTTTAGGGGGGGGATGTTTTTCACACTGTAAACAGTTAAAGTTCCTCACATTTTGTATCCTCAGATAAAACACGGGTTGTGAACCCATGTAAAACCTGGGGCTTTTAAAAAAATATTAAGTATGATAAGTTATCCACCATCTTCCCAACCCATGAAACACATGGGTTTTTGAAAAAAAAAATTAAATATGATAAGTTATCCACCATCTTCCTATAAGGATATTGCAAAACGGATTAGGTGACGCCTTGCTAATGAACACACATGCTGGAAAAACAGATCTAAAATACAACGATCAAACAAGTCACAGTCTTGGCGGCTATAGCGGCCAGGAGTGAATGTTTCAGCCTTTAAGACTTAAGACTATAAAATAGAAAATCTCTAGGAGGTTCAGCACTGTCTCCATAGACATGAGTGTAAAAATCCTTGCCTACGTCTCTGACCGCATCGTTTGGGAACTTCTAACTACTACTCCCCCAGGATGTTTACCCCTTGAGTCCACAGGCAATGAACTGAGCGAAAAGGAGGACGCTGCCTTGTTTACGAAACCTGTCATTCCTTTTGGAAGTGCAGCGTCTACCCAGGTTTTCTTTGGCTCAGAGCGAGCTACACCCCAGGCTTTCTCTGCATCAGGAAGGCGGTGTCGGCTCGAGCCGCAGCCGCAGCAGGGCTGGGTACCAAACCCGGGTCTTTCCAGGCACAGCCGGTGCCAAAGACCATACGCGGCGCGGAACCCACGGGTGGAGGCTTCGCCACGCTGCGACACGGGTCCTGGCCCAACAGCTGACTTTACGAATCCGGGACAAAGAGGGGCGGGGGGCGCAGGACCCTCGGAGGGTGGGTCACTTCCCACCCCACCCCCCTCGGGCTCCCCCGAGCAGCTCGGGCGTCGCGGGCTGGGTCGCTCCCACCGGAAGAGTGCGGAGAAAGGCTGTTAGCGGGGGGCGGGGGGCGGATTTTATTACTGCGGTTGGCGCAGTCGCCTCCCCCGGAGACCCACGACAAAGATGCAAACCCGCCGCGCTCGCTGCTGCTCTGGTCCCGCCCCGGCGCATGAGACCCTGGAAAGCTAGAAAGAGGGGTGCGTGCTCCCGAGTTTGCAGATGGGCTGGACCGGCCGGGAAGTTCTGGCAGGCGGAAATCAGAGGGACCACCCCCCAACCCTCACCCCCCCCCCCGCCCCCGGGGCAGGTGGCCCGGCGCGCCCGTACCTTGGTGGCGGGGTCCGCGGCAGCGATGGCCGGGTCCCCCGGCGCGCTGGGCGCCGCCTCCGCCGCAAGGCCGCCGCCGCTGGGCTCGGGCTCGGCCGGCGTCGCGCTCCCCGCCTCCGGCTGCTCCGGGCTCCGCTGCTCCGTGGAGCTCCCAGCACCCATGGCTCTTCTGCGGTTCTCCCGCGCCCAGCTGCCCGGTCACGCCTTCCCCCAAATCTTAGGAACGTGGAGAAGAGCGAGAAGCCGTGCGCCCGCGAGGTCCCAGGAACGCCTTCCTCTCCCGCCGTCCTCCTCCGAACGCGCCCAGACTGCGAATGAACGAGACGCGCTCGCGGCAAACTCCTTAAAAGAAAAAAAAAAAAAAAAAAAGCCACCTCTTTGCCTCCTCCTCCCCCTTGTTTTTCCCTCGCTTCATCACATGAGCACAGCCCCAGACACGCCTTGCAGCAGCATCTCCCCCCAGGCTGTAGGACCTGAGGCGCAGTCCGAGCCTCGAGCCAGGGTCCAGGCAGGCAGCCCACCCCGACCCCCGGACGCTTCCCATTCCTAAATGGGGACGCGAGCTGGGGGACGATCCAGGGTTGCAGAAGGGGAGGGGGGGGGGCCGAAGGCCCCTCAGGGAGATTGGATTTGCTGCGGTTTATTAAATGATTGATAACCCAAGGCAGAGCTTCTGCTGCAGCGCACTTTTCCCTTCGCCCAGCAAGCGAACCCAAATCCCCAGTTGCTTTCCTTCGGACTGTGTTATCCTCTGAATGTTGGTTCCTGCCTCCTCCCCACTAGCAGAAGAAAGGCAAGCGCTCCTTGGCTTCTCCGGAGCCTGACCATATTAGGACACCTCACGTGGCAGGAGCTGGGAACCGAGAGGGTAGCGCAGTCAGGCCATGGATGAGGTGGGCCAGGCGGCCCCAAGCTCGCCTATCATCCGAAACTAGTGATGTCAGGCGATACCATCAGCGACACTGGCTGGCCTCCTTCCTTGGGGAGTTCGGGGAAGTGAGGCTGTGACTGGAAATGTGCCTGTCCTTCTTTGAGGGCGTGATGCTGGAGGTCCAGGCCCCTTCTCCCTCGCGCCATGCTGAGACATGACGACATAGATCTCTTCTTCATGGGCCATCAGTAGTTCTCCATAGATGAAGGCTTTGAATAATATCAGCAGAAGTGGCTTGCGTTCCTATCCTTCATACTCTTGAATACTCGTTACATGAATAGAGAAGGCAGCCAACAAATATTTGAACGAAATCAAATTTTTAGGTGGATTATTGGGCACATAAGCATGAAGGTGCTGGGGTTGAAAGAAACATTATCCCCAGTTTTAAGTGGCAACAAAGTACCTTAGTGTTCACAAATAGTTGGAAGAATGAAGAAACTCGGAATATCGACACTAGATACCAGATAAATATCCCATACTCAGATTTTGTACAAGTTAGTGGAGAATTGATGTAAGTGGTTAGTTCAGTAGTGGAATATTTTGTGCCTAATTGTGGCATGTAGTATAATGGCATATGGTTATCCAGCATAAAATTTTTCCACATTTATAATTTTTATTTGAAGAAGTACATAAAGGTCCCTTTCTCTGGAATATATCGCTTCTTAAGCAATATTAAGCAAAATGGTTGGTTTTCATAATTTTTAAGCATTTCATCCATTTCAACTTAAATTTTCTACTACTTAGGAAGCATTCCAGTACTTACTATGTGCCAGACACTGTTCAAAACACTTTGCATATCTAATCATATTTAATTCTTACAACAACTCTGTGAGGTAGATCCTATTATTCTCATTTTACCAGTGGAGTGGAGGAAGGTAGGCCCAGAGAAATCAGATCAGATGCTCAAGATTTCACAGCTGGTAGGCAAAAAAGAGCAAGGATTCTTCCCACACTGAGCCTCTGTACAACACTTCACTCTCCTTCCGTAGAAAGCTTCCAGTGTGTTCTCTGTTCTCAGGGATATCTGTGAAAAGTGGCATTTTGGCCTCACCTAAGATGTTAAGGGCTAAAAATGCTATTAAAGCCTATCTGAGAATGATTAACGTCAGCACATATGAAAATGTATCAGTAAGTAGTACAAACACTATCAAAATGTCCCATTCTGTGAGATTATACTTACTCAGTTCTTGGGAAATTTTTAACAAAGCTTTTCACATCTAGCTTTCAAATTTTCGGAGAAATATTACAAGGTCAAAGATTTCAAGTCAACGGTATACAACCCACATGCTGAGGAAGACATCACCAGTGTCTGCCTAGATTAGCAATTGCTTGCTTTGTGTTTATTTTTCAGGTCATGAAAATGCTCATATTCTGATTTTTTTAAAGCAAAAATTTTTTAAGATTTTATTTTTATTTATTTATTTACTTATTTTTAAGAGATTTTATTTATTTATTTGACAGAGAGATAGAGAGAGAGCACAAGCAGGGGGAGCGGCAAGCAGAGGAAGAAGCAGGCTCCCCACTGAGCAGGGAGTCAGATGTGAGGCTCAATCCCAGGACCCTGGGATCATGACCTGAGCCCAAGGCAGCCACTTAACTGACTGAGCCACCCAAGTGCCCTTAAGATTTTATTTTTAAGTAATCTCCGCACCCAATGTGGGGCTTGAACTCACAACCCTGAGATCAAAGAGTCACATGCTCCACCAACTGAGCCAGCCAGGCGCCCCAGCAAAATCTTATTTTGAGGCTCTTAAAAAAAAAAAAAAAAGAATAACAGGCTCTTTTGTAGATTCACGCAAGCACCTTTGGTTTCTGGACTGCCCAAAGAATCCTTTTCCATCTTACTTGTAAACTGGGGAGTTACTCTCTGTTATTTTTGTTAAGAAGAGTAGTTGTACTATTTATTATCCCTAGCAATGACATTTCCCAACCTTTTGGATATACTATTTAGAACATTCAATATAATAGAACATATGCTATTCAGAACACTATATTGATTTCTTTCATTTATCCATTTTTCCCCTAAGATTTTATTGTTTGATTGTGTTTTTTTAAGATGGAGACACAGTGAGAGAGGGAACACAAGCAGAGGGAGTGGGAGAGGGAGAAGCAGACTTCCCGTGGAGCAGGGAGCCCGATGTGGGGCTCGATCCCAGGACCCTGGGATCATGACCTGAGCCGAAGGCAGATGTTTCACGACTGAGCCACCCATGCGCCCCTAAGATTTTACTGTTTTAAGCAATCTCTACACCCAACGTGGGACTCAAACACAACCCCAAGACCAAGAATCACATGCTCTACCCACTGAGCCAACGAGATGCCTGATTCCTTTTTTTAATGTAAACATATTTAAATGTAAACATACATTTACCAAGTAAGTACCTATTTGGTGCCAAGCAGAGAGTTACTGTGCTTCCTACTCAAGGCTCTAAATCAAGTCACGAAGGTTTTCTTTTCTAGGGTTTTGAAGATACCTTTAGAATTGCTTGGATTAGGGGCGCCTGGGTGGCTCAGTCATTAAGCATCTGCGTTCGGCTCAGGCCATGATCCCAGGGTCCTGGGATCGAGCCCCACATCGGGCTCCCTGCTCAGCGGGAAGCCTGCTTCTCCCTCTCCCACTCCCCCTGCTTGTGTTCTCTCTCTCGCTGTGTCTCTCTCTCTCTGTCAAATGAATAAATTAAAAAAAAAAAATCTTAAAAAAAAAAAAAGAATTGCTTGGATTAATGTCAGCCATAGAGAGGAAGGCAACTGTTCTCAATTTTCCACTTCTCAGTCCAAGGCTTTTGGTTACCCCGATTTCTAGCCCGTGGCCCTCTCTCCCCCAAACAGCAGGACACAGGTGTCCCCCACATCCTCTCCCATGGGGCAGCTGGTGGTAGAGTGGTTCCCCTGTGAGAGCTGATACTCTCACAAAAACAGCTTGAGATTTCTCAAAAACAAATACACGTTGCCGGTACAGCAGGCTGAACTTGTAGGCTTCATGCTTAACTTCTCCGGAAAGACGGGCCACACGAGATTTACCAGTAAGAGTTAAAGTCATAGCTAGGCATCTTGCGCACACACCAAAACCTCTTCAAATATGTTTCAAATGAATTCACAAATGTGAAACGTATTATATCTAAGTTACTACAACCCCTTGAAAAGGCAATCATAATTATAATTATTAAAACAACTTAAAACAAACACTTAACTCTACCCCCACAGATTCTCTAGCTACAAAGCCTTCAGGCAATTTCACTTAAAACATGGAAACTCTTCAGCCTTGAAACTACTGCATATAACTTCATTGTATTCACTAAATAAGAAGCCTACTTTTTTCTAAGCTAATTACTTACATCAAGATACCTAAATTGGGTGCCTGGGTGGCTCAGTTGGTTAAGCGACTGCCTCCGGCTCAGGTCATGATCCTGGAGTCCCTGGATCGAGTCCCTGGATCGAGTCCCGCATCGGGCTCCCTGCTGAGCAGGGAGTCTGCTTCTCCCTCTGACCCTCCCCCCATCTCATGTGCTTTCTCTCTCATTCTCTCTGTCTCTCAAATAAATAAATAAAATCTTTAAAAAAAAAAAAAGATACCTAAATCACCTAAGAACCCAATTCCTCCTCTCCTCTCCTGCATTTGCTAATTGTAAACTAGAAAACTATAAGAATTTACAATTTTGTTTTATTCATGACTAACTAATAATCCAACATTCATGTAGAAGCTACAGAAAAAGTTCAATATACAGACGAAGTTCAAAGGTCAACCACCTGTAGACATATAAATACAGGCAAATGCTAAATTTCTCAACTTCAAGAAACCTATTGCTTTGAGTTAACTATAAAGCCAGCTTTCTGTCTTATCAGTTTCATTTACTAAGATTTAAGATTGGCTCCTGACCCAAATCTAAGATTACAAGATTACACTAAAGTAACAAAAAAGGTGGCAGGGTGGAGAAGTTAATATATATATATATATATATATATATGTATTTGTATTTATATTTATAATATATATAAAAAAATTTTTAAATTTTTTTTTCGGGGGTGCCTGGGTGGCTTGGTCGGTTAAGCATCTGCCTTCAGCTCAGGTCATGATCCCAGAGTCCTGGGATCGAGCGCTGCGTCGGGCTTCCTGCTCAGTGGGGAGTCTGCTTCTCCCTCTCCCTCTGTCTCTTCTCCTTGCTCTTTCTCTCTCTCTCTCTCTCTCTCTCAAATAAATAAATAAATAATTTTAAAAATAAATTAATTTTTTTCATTTATGTATTGGCTCAGTCAGAGGAGCATGTGAGTCTTGATCTCGGGGTTCAAGACACACGTTGGGTGTAGAGATTACTTCAATAACACTTAAAAAAGAAAAAATAAGCAAATTTCACAGAGAACAAGTTTGACATA